CTTATTATTCATAGAAGGTATACAACTAGATTTCTTAGACTTGGTATAGAGGTTAGCATCCTAAGCAAGCTTAAGATTTGCAATTCTCTCAAAGACGTTCATGTAAACATAGGTGAAACCATATCCAGTTTTTAATGCATAATACATGTTGATACCTCATTTTTTCTCCCCCTAAAAAAATACCCAACAATATTGGACCGAATTTTTTTTTTTTGTAAACTTGAGTTATTCACTAACAAATAAATGTAAACATTTTATCTGATTTAAAATGAAGAAATTTAAAAAAATTTATTTGAGCTTGTATTTGATGTTACTGAGTACATCAACGTTTAATTTACAAGAAAACTTGTTATAGTGCTTAAATAAGATTAAACAAAGGATAGTGCATGTGGAGATAAGCTGTCTTTTATCGTTTTGTTTCCCTCTCTTTGTTAAAAGGCATCCCCAACTCAACTCAACTTGGATGGCTACAATCTCCCTAAGCAAAGTTTTTTTTTTTTCTCATTTTTATTCCTTAATTTTATTATTGGAAAATAGTATATACTTTCTTTTTTTAATATATTGAGAATGTTGTGTTGACAATACTTCATGCATTTTTAATTTTTGTAGATATGTAACATTATTATTTAATACAAAACTCTCTTTATTATTTAATCAATAATGCGACATCCTCATAGTTTATTACCTCTAATGATATGATATTGAGGTTAGATCCCACATGATGGAATGTTTAAAATTTGACACTTGTCAAACATATCATTAGAGGTAATTTTTAAGAGTGATAAATTAGGTGAACTCCCATAATAAAATGATAAGTTAAGAAAAACCAAATCCAAAATTCAAAATCTACTCCAACACCTGACAAAGCTCAAGCTAAAAAATATATAAACCGTCGGATCACCTAGGGATGATAAATCGACGGTCAAAAATCAAAGTTTGACTGAAGTACGAATTAGGTTGGAATGATTGGCTTTGATAACGACTTTGACCGTAGAAAAATTGAAAAAAACAAGAGAGAGAGAGAGAGAGGGGGGGGGAAGCTGGTGGTGTTGTTGGTGGATTGGTGTCTTTTTCGCAAATTCCTATCTCTGTTGAATGAAGCAGAGGAGAAAGATTGGAGAGCCATAGCTTTCTCTCTCTCTCTCTCTTATTGATCAAGAAATTTAGGGAGAGAGACAAATTAGGGTTTCGTTTCAGAAACCATAATGAATGTCATGCGTCGCCTCAAGAGCATCGCTTCCGGCCGCTCCTCTGTTTCCGATCCTGTAATTCTCTCTCTCTCTCTCTCTCTCTATATATATATATATGTATAATATTTGTGTGTACAAAATGCATATATATGGATGCTTATGTGTAAATAAAACAAAGGAAAATGAATTCAAAGAAAGGAAAGGAAAGGAAAGGAAATTTTGAATCTTGTGATTTGGGTTGTGGTTGTTTCAGGGCTGATACATATAGTTGTTTAGATTTTTTTTTTCCCCTGCATTTTCTTGTATAATGAAATTGAGCGATATTTTCATTATATATGTATGTGTATTTTTGTATATGAATTATCTGCATTTATACAGCATATACACACATTTTTGTTATTATTTGGTCCACCTTTTGATCTGTCTACCAGATTTTTATGTTGCGTAATTATTGATTGTTTCCCCCCTTTTTTTTTTCCTTCCTGTTCTTGTCCACTCCGTTTGGATTGGGTGGTTTTGGTGAGAAAATGAGAGAAATGGTGAGAAAGACAAATCTCTCAAACCTGAAGTGGTGATATTTGATATCTGAATGTTGAGTATTTATCAACAACAAAAAAATCTGAATAGTTTATATAAAGGATCACATAATGTATTCCACATGGTGATTGGATGCCAGTTTGAAAGGAGTTTGGGTGCGTGAAGCTAAAAAAGAAGGGTGCAATAACACTACTCATCATTTTTTCAGTGTTCATTGTGATCAAAATTTTTTTTATTATTTTTTATTGTTTTTGCGTGTGGTAGGTAAGCAGTTTAGATATACGCAAAAAATAAACATTACAATGAGGCTCAATACACCCCCATAGGGGACAATAAAGATAGTTGAGCAAGCCATCAAAACAAAGCATTCAAAGACCTAGTGATAAAATAACTCTCACAATAAAACAAACTCTCACAACTCAAGAGCTAGGCCAAAGAGACAAACAACATGCAAAGTTAGAGGACAACACTTATTATTCATAGAAGGTATACAACTAGATTTCTTAGACTTGGTATAGAGGTTAGCATCCTGAGCAAGCTTAAGATTTGCAATTCTCTCAAAGACGTTCATGTAAACATAGGTGAAACCATATCCAGTTTTTAATGCATAATACATGTTGATACCTCATTTTTACTCCCCCTCAAAAAATACCCAACAATATTGGACCAATTTTTTTTTTTTTTTTGTAAACTTGAGTTATTCACTAACAAATAAATGTAAACATTTTATCTGATTTAAAATGAAGAAATTTAAAAAAATTTATTTGAGCTTGTATTTGATGTTACTGAGTACATCAACGTTTAATTTACAAGAAAACTTGTTATAGTGCTTAAATAAGATTAAACAAAGGATAGTGCATGTGGAGATAAGCTGTCTTTTATCGTTTTGTTTCCCTCTCTTTGTTAAAAGGCATCCCCAACTCAACTCAACTTGGATGGTTACCATCTCCCTAAGCAAAGTTTTTTTTTTTTCTCATTTTTATTCCTTAATTTTATTATTGGAAAATAGTATATACTTTCTTTTTTTAATATATTGAGAATGTTGTGTTGACAATACTTCATGCATTTTTAATTTTTGTAGATATGTAACATTATTATTTAATACAAAACTCTCTTTATTATTTAATCAATAATGCGACATCCTCATAGTTTATTACCTCTAATGATATGATATTGAGGTTAGATCCCACATGATGGAATGTTTAAAATTTGACACTTGTCAAACATATCATTAGAGGTAATTTTTAAGAGTGATAAATTAGGTGTTTGAAATATTTTTCTTATTCAATACAGTACTCTCTTTGTAGATATTGTTTCTATGTAATGTTTTCTAAATTGATTAATGTGAGTGATCAATGAAGAGATAACAAAGCATTGTGGATTTGTGGGATAGTGCCATATTTAGGTGTGAATCAGCATTATTTAAATAAACCAGTGAGGTTCTCTCAGATTATCTCCGTTAGAATGACCTAATTTATCAACTGAACATATTGACTTAATAAATTGGGTCGAGCACAATGTCTAATAAAAAATTTAAACAAAATAATCAAAAAGCATGTTGAACAAAATATCCGATAATCTGAACATAGTGTTTAGATAGAGTGCTCAAACAAAAAATTTATCACATTTCTATGTTGGGACTTCACATAATCTTGAGTTCACAAAAAATTTATCACATTTCTCTCTCATATGCTTTCTTTGTTTTTAAACACATATTTTCATTCACCTTTTACCTAATTTGTTTATTTCAGGTATAGAAAAGTTTGGGCTTTGGTGGTAATGTGGTGGTGAAAGTGGTTTAGTTATTCAACAACAGCTATGGGTTCTTCTTATTTTGAGGGTAATAGTAAACCTCTTGATTTTTTTTTAATTATTTTCTCTCTTTGTTTTTTCTCTTTTGTGGTTTATACTTGCTAGTGAATGAACTTTGATGATATCATTAGCTTTTGTTTTCCGGGCACACAGTTGAATCTTTTGAAGGTCTTTGGGTGATGGGTCTCGAAGCTTTAGCTGATCTATATATTAGTCATATTTCATGAGTATTGTATCGATTTGTGATTTTAATGATTTGGGTTTCATTTGATTTTGTTGGTTTATGAGGTATTGATTTTAGGTTCTAAGATTGCCCTTTTTTTGTGGCATTAATCATTTCATAATTGCTATCCAATTGTTTCTGGGTGGGTAAATTTGATCATCAAATCTTTGGCAGGTTATGCAAATTGAAATCTTTTCTCAGCTTATTAGTATTCGTTATCATAATGTGAAATTCTTACTTATTTACTATAAGCAAATGTTTATATTATTTGATGGATTGGTGGTTTCTGGGGGCGTCATTACATAATTAACCCTTTTAGCAGCCCTTCATGGGAATTGAAAATGCAAAGTCAAATGAAGTATATTTAAGCTTCCTGCTTCTTTAATCTGTTACGAAAGTTTTAGATAGTGAGGGTCTGTTTGGGAAGAAAAAAGTCAGGTTTTTTTGGCTAAAATAGTCACAAAAAACAAAATAGGCTATTTTAGCCACAAAAAACAAAACATCAAATCCAACCCATAATCATTACAATCCCCTCTCACAAAAAAAGTCAAAAAGCCAACCCACTTCCCAAACGGAGGCTGACTTCATTTGCCCGATTTTATGTGGCTGCCCCATAATAATCCGACTACATTTGACATTGTTGGGATCTCTTTGTCATTGTAAGTCAATCATTAATTTAATTTAATTTATTTAATTTAGTTTGGTGTGGCTTTTCATCCGAGTTGTTGAATTAATTTGTGTTTTTATTTTTCAGGTTAGAAATTTGTTGGAGAGATGCAAAATATGGTCAAAGAATTCAATGACTTAATTTTTCAAGTTTTTTTTTATTTTTTTTATTTTTTAATATATGTAAGCATAGTTTAAATTTTTTTATTTAATTCCTTTGTACATACTTTTGAACATATTTAACTTTCATTTACGAAATATATGGCGCTATTTCATTGAATATGTGGTTATGATTCAAAGTATAGTATATAGTGTGTATTACATTCTTAAAATGCGCGTACAAAAATAATATTGATTATTCTTCAAATATGTTGAATCTTTTTAGTAATTAATCACACTTAAAAGATGTGATCTAAAGTTTATTATCACAGGTTTTATTAGTTTTTAATCACACTTAAAAGATGTGATCTAAATATTATTAATCACACTTAAAAGGTGTGATCTATACATTATTAATCACACTTAAAAGGTGTGATCTAAATATCTTTAATCACACTTAAAAGGTGTGATTAAAAATGACCCTTTTTAATCACACTCCCAAAGATCACACTTCAATAAAACTTAAAAGGTGTGATTAAATAACAAACATCACACCAAAAAAGTGTGATCTTTATCTGTTTTTGTAGTAGTGCTCTTCCACCAACAAAAAAGTCATAAAAACTTGTTTAGTAATTTTTTTAGTTTATAAATAGTTGTCTCAATTTATAAATTTGAAGAAAAAACATAAACTTAAAAAATAAGTTTATGTTGGTTTTTAAACAGAAATTTAAAATTTTGACTAACAAATATTTTTTTTTCAATTAATATTTTTTTTCAAATAATTTTTTTTCATTAATTTTTTTTCAAATATTTTTTTTGCAAATATTTTTTTTCAAATAATTTTCTTTTCAATTAATTTTTTTCAATAAATATTTTTTTCAATTATAATGTGTATGATCCCATTGTCATAAATAATACAAAATAAATATAAATATTTTAAGCCTGAACAAATATATTTTTTAGTTTATGTTTTTAAATTTTTTCAAACATTTTGTTCAAACCAAACGCGTTTGTAGTTTATATTTTTCTAAAAGTAAACAAAAACCAATTTATAAATTTTTTGTAAACATAAACAAAAAACGTAAACGTTACCAAACGCTACCTAAAGGTTTTATTGTCTTTTACTTTTGTTTTCATTAATTAATTCATAGATAAATTAAAAGTTGATTTTTTTTTTCTTCTCTAACATTTTTCAATTATGTGTTTTATATTTTTATTTTGTGTTAATATTGAATCACTTTTTAAAGATCATTCAATCATTTCTCCATTTTCATAGTGTTTTCTTTTTCAAAAATTTCGTACAAAAAGAAGAGTAATGGCTAGGAATGGCAACGGGCCGGGGCGGGGCCGGAGATGCCACTCCCCATCCCCGATCCTCGAAGATTAAAAAATCCCCATCCCCGGCCCCGATCCCCAATGGGGAAGGCATCACCTCCCCCGTCCCCAGCCCCAGCCCCGATCCCCGATGGGGAAGGCATCACCTCCCTCTCATCAATTGAGAATGGGAAATTCTTAATAGATGCTTTCAACCAAAGAGATGCTCTGATTTTGATTAATTCACTCAAGCCAGAGAAATTGGGTTGAGTCTCAGAGAAAACACATTCGTTCCTATGCTTCCAAAGAGACCAAATAACAATAAGGGGGATAGCTCTCCAAATTAGCCTATCAAAGCTCTTCAATCTACAACCCAACCACCAATTGAGATATAAGCTACATTAAAAGTTGATATGATACGATGATTTATACTATTATTAGAAATAAGCCCTTTTAAGCAATTAAACTATCTAATTGAATTATTTGTTACAATTTAAACATACCTTTTGGCCAAATTTTTAAATAATTTTAAAACTATTAGCTTAAAAACACCTATTATTAGAAATAGGATCCGTTTGTTTAGAAAGAAATGGATGATAGAAAATGAAAATGGTAGAAAGTGAAGTGAAAGAAAGGAAAAGGAAATAAAAATTTATTTTCTTGCATACATTTAAATAGATGAAAAATTTTGTAAGAAAATAATGGGAAAAAAACATAATCACTGCAAAACAGAGAGTTATGGAAAGAAACATGGAAAAAATAAATTTCCTTGTATATTTTAAAAGAAATTATTAGCCAAACTAAAAAGCTAATTTTCATTACTTTCGAGGACTCTCTATCTAAAAAAAAAAACACACACACACACACATATATATGTATATATATATATATATTTTACTTTCTTGTGTTATCTATATAATCAAACTGAGCCATGTTTAAAGTTGAAACATTCCATTAAAAGTTGAAATTACTACACAACTTCAATATCTCCATCAAAATATCCAATTCTTTAGAATCCATATTACACTCATTGATATGGATTCAGTAGAAAAATCACTTTGAATTTTGAATTTGTATAAAAGCAATTATCATAAAAAAAAATTATTTGTATAAAAGATAATTTAAATAGATTTGTGCATGAAATAAAAGTTCATTTTGTCCACTTTTTCAAAAATTTTCTCTACAAATTCCAGATACAAACACAAATTAAGAAGTTTTTGAGTGATTGTGTAGAAAAAATAGATGTTAATCGATAATACTTTTTTTTTCTTGGTAAGTTTTATAAAATCAAAAAACATATTGTATTAAACTATTTGTACATTTTAAGTACTAAATTATTTTATTCTGTGCATAGCACAAGTCAACTACTAGTATCATGTGATGCTGATGCGTGCTCTCTCTTTTTTCATGTCAATTCTAAGAATTTTTTTTTTTTCTTAGTAATGTAATCCAATTTTTGGTAGGCTTACATGTCGTGTTTTAATTTTATTTTTATTGATTTAAACAATGAGATTTATCATTTTGGTATTGTGTTTCAACAAACGACAAAACACTTGTTACAAAATGAATGGTAACCTCTCTTCAAAATTTGTATGCCCAACGAATTGATGATGCAACTTAAGTGTGTGCACAAATTTGAATGAGTCAAGGCTTTAAGTATTGTAAGATACTTAACTAGCATTTACACTCTATTTGGGAATTTAGGAGAGAACAAAATAAATGATTATATAAGGTATAAAAAAATGTTGCATTTTCTCTCCTAATTTGAAACAAAAAAAAAAAAAAAAGACAAAAAGAAAAGAAAAGAAAAGAAGAAGAAGAAGAAGAAGAAGATATCCTATATTATTTGTTAAAATTATATAAAATAAAAGAAAATAAATTTTTTCATGTCATATTATCAAAAGAACTTTTTATGAGTGTCAATGTTTTTATTAAGTTTTGGTATTATAAAAAATAGTAATTTGGTAGTTTCTATTCATTCTCAATCTCTCCACTTTTAAAGAGATTCAAAATGAAGCTTATAACAAAAATGAGTTTATTTGTTATTTTTTATTTTTTATTTTTTATTTTTTCCCATAACACTCCATTTCTATTATCTTTATTACTAATCAAAACATGAGATATGAAACAAAATAAATGTATTTATTTCTTTTCTTTTCTTCCCAAATCAACCAACCTAAACGAACTGTTAGTTAGGAGTAACACCTCATTGCAGTGGTAATACCACGTCAACATGCTAATATGGTATCACAAACCAATAAAAAGCTAGCTTGTGTGCATAGTCATCACCGCTGTATATGACATGGATGTGGTGGTTTGTTAAACTATACATGTGCATAAACCAGGCACATATGATAGTATTTCATTGGATTGTAATACCATGTTAGCATAACGACAATTGTACTCATGTTTTTTTTTTTTTGATAGGTAAGACTAATTTGCTCGGTGAAAGTGATACTTTTCATTGTTTGATAAATGAGAAATAAATTAGTACCCATTGACACTAAATCGGTTAAAATTCCTACAATTCATTAGAAGGTTATTGAGGTCAAGTCTTGCCCTAGGCAAGATCTTCCACTCTTTCAACATAAAAATTGCTTGTTTATTATATCTTGTATTATTAAGATGCTTTTGGTTAAAACTCTTACAATTCATTAGAAGGTTATCGAGGTCAAGTCTTGCCTTTGGCAAGATCTTCCACTCTTTCAAAAAAAAAAAATTTACTTCTTTAGTATAGGTTGTATTATTCAGAAATATTTTCTTCTTTAAAAAATGAGTTTTAACTAATCAAACCCTAATGAGTAATAGATTAATTTTGGAAATGGCTAGTTTGACTATGAATTGTATTATTAAGATGTTTTTTTATTTTGATTTTTATTTAAAAGAACATTGGAAACTTGAACTCCAAACACCTAAGCCAAGTATTTAACTCGATTTATGACACTTACCTTTAGTGTGATGGTCATTTGGTTCATTTAGACAAGTGAAATACTAAAAACACAATTTTTAATTTATAATGATATTGTAAGGGAGTTAGTCTTATACAATTGAATATATAACAAATTAAAAATTAATACATAATTTATCATATTATTAACATGTAATTAAAAAGACTTTTTAAGTCTCAATTTTTTTCCTTTACATAAACATCACATGTTTTCCCCAAAAATTTTCACATGAGAAAAAGCTGGATTTTGATTTGCAGCCTATCCTTTGGTTCTTACTGATGGCCCAAGGGTCAAACAGAGAGAATTTGTTTTCAGCAGCCTTTGGTCAAGTCTTTCTCGGCAGGCAATCTTTCTATTTTTTTTTTTTATTATTATTATTATTATTATTATTATTATTATTATTATAAAACTTAATGGATTATATAATTATAATGATTAAAATCAAATACAACGTATAATCAAGGAACAATTGCAGAGAATAACATCACAAAATAGTTACAAAATGATGAAAGTACAAATAATTTTTGCATTAGATCATGTAAATAAGTCTTATACTTTTATTACTTTCTAATTATTTTATATTGATATTATTTTTCTGAACTTGTCCCAATAATTAATATAAAGAATTCTTAAAGTAAAAAAAAAAAAAAAAAAAGTCCCAATAAACATACTACAACTCTTGTAAACAAGAATGAGACCCACTCGACAAACAACCTTGATAGTTAGAATTTAGAAAGGAGTTTCAACTTTTGTAGTCTCTCTATTTCCCACCTTTGA